GATATTAACCCTTTGTCAGTTTGCCAAGTATTTCACCCATTTCATATTTGTTCCTTCACTTTATTGATTGTTTCCATTCTTCAGTATGTCCTGAAGTCAGATATTGAGATTGCTCCAGCTGTATGAGTGTGTGTGTGTGTGTGTGTGTGTGTGTGTGTGTGTGTGTGTCTGTCTGTCTGTCTATTTTCCTGCTCAAAAATGCCTTGAGTCTTTGGGTTCTTTTGTGCTTCCACATAAATTTTAGAATTTTTTTCTATTTCTATGAGGAACACCATTAATATTTTTATAGGCTTTTATTAAATTTGTACATCACTTTGAACCACGTGGACATTTTGCCAACGTGTGAGGTCTTTCATATTTTGGTGTCTTCAGTTTCTTTCATCAGTATTTTGTTATTTTCATTATAGAAGTTGTTTATCCCTGGGTTAAATTTGTTTCCAAGTATTTCAAGTTATTTTTTAAAGTTTTGGCTGTAGAAATGGGATTGCTTTCATTGTTTCTTTCTCAGCAAGTTTGTCATTCATGTATAAAATTATACTGATTTTTGAGTGTTGATTTTGTATGCTGAAACTTCTGAATTCATTTATCAGTTTTCATAGTCTTTGGTGGTGACTTTAGTTTTTTGTGTATATGTAGAATTGTATCATTTGCATACGAGGATAATCACATTTTCTTCCTTTCTGTTTTTCTTTCTCTGGCCAAATTGCTCTGGGTGATTCTTCCATCCTGTGTTGAATATGGGTGGTAAAGTTGATAACCTTGCCTTATTCCAGATTTTACAGGAAAGACAGATTTTTTCTGTTTAGTATATTACTGTGGATTTGTCATCAGTAGCCTTTGTTAGACTTATATATGTTTCTTTTATACCTAACTTTCCAGATTCTTTTTTTAATCATGAAAGCATATTGAATTTTATTAAATGGATTTTCTGCGTCTCTTGAGTTGATCGTATGGTTTTTTTCCCTTTGTCTCAATGCGATGCATTGTATTTATTGATTTGTATATATTAAAACAACTTTGAATCCCCCTCTTGTTTGTAGCGACTGATATTTTTGGTGTGGTTTAGATTCCATTTGGTAGTATTTTGTTGAGAACTGTCGTATCTATGTCACAGATACTGATCTGTAGGGTTTTTTTTTTTTTTGTCCTTTGGTGTCATGATAATGCTGGTTCCCTACTTTTCAGTTTTGTTTTTGAATAGAAATGATATTAATTCTTTTTAACAGGTTTGTAGTACTCAGTAGTGAGGTTATGTGCTATGGTTTGTGTCTAGATGTCCCCTGAAAGCCTCATGCAGTTGTAGAGTTTTTTGGAGGTGGCTGAATCTGTAGTGACTCATTTGAAGTGTAATGCTGGGATTAAGGGTGCTGGGAATCAGGGTGGGTGATGGCTGAATCAGTCCGTTGATTAGATTGGCACTTCTCTAATCCTGGTAGACTGGATTCAGTGTGAGGAACAGAAAGAGATTTTTCTTGCTCCTCTTGCTGCTTTTGCTGTCTGCGGCCACCATGTTGCCCCTCTGCCATGACACCTGTCTTGGAGCCAGCTGATACAGACTGAAACCTCCACAAACTGTGAGCTAAATAAACCTTTCCTTCCTTAATATTGGGCATCGGGTATTTTGTCTCAGCAATGAGAAAAGTAAGACATCTTGGCTTTTTCTTTGTTGGGAAAATTTTTGTTATTACTGAATTAGTTTTGCTACATACTGTTGATCAGCTCAGATGTTATGTCTTCATCATTCAATTTTATTTACATGTTCCCAAAAGTTTATCAATTTTTTCTGCATTTTCTAATCTAGTGTGTATACTTGTTCAAAATAGCATCTGATGATCCTTTTTATTTCTGAGGTATCAGTTGTAATTCTGTTTAATCTCTGACTTCATTTTGAGTCTCCTATTATTTTCTTGGTTAGTGTAGCTAAATGCTTATTGATTTTGTTAGTATTTCCAAAATTCAGTTCTGTTTCATTAAGCTTTTGTTGTTTTAGTCTCCATTTTGTTTATTCCATTCCAACCTTCATTATTTCTTTCCTTCTATGAATTTTGATTTAGATTTGTTCTTATTAATTAGTTTATTTACATGAACTTTGCTTTTTTGATGTAAGCACCTGCTGCTATAAACTTCCCTCTTAGTGCTGCAGTATCCATAAGTTTTGGTATATTATTTGCTTAAGTTTTGTTTCACAAATTTTGTAACTTCTTTTCCATTTTTTCCAGCAATGTACTGTCTGCTTGGCAGCATGTTGTCCAGTTTCTATGTATCTTTACAACTTATAAATTTCCTTATGCTGTTGATTTAAGTTTTTCCCATCATATCAGAGAAGATAAATATGATATGAACTTCTATTTGTTGAAACTTTTTTGTTCCCTGGATTACAGTCTCTTGTAGATAGTCCATATGTTGAATTGTTTGCTGTTAACTGTTGGATGGCATGTCCTATAAGTGTCTGGTAGGTCCACGTGATCTGTAGTCTAATTCATACCTGATTTCGTTTCTTTTTTTTTTTTTTTTTTTTTTACTTTTTGTCTGTGTGATATGTCCTTTATGAAAGGGGGGTGTTGAAATTCTCAGTTATTGTTGTACTGTATCCTAATTTTCCTTTTAGATCCTATGGCATGTGATTTATAAAATTAGGTCTGTATGTATATATATATTTTATGTGATTTACTGATCTCTCCAGTTACAAGGTTTCTGTTTGGTTCTTTTTCATATTCATTTTGTGAATTGTTTTCCCAATTTTATTGAATCATGTGTCTGTATTCTCTTGCATTTTGTGGAACTTCCTTGAATCATTCTTCTGAATTCTTATTTAGGAATTTTGCCAATTTTCCCTTGGAATTTGTTGCTAGGGAGTTATTGTATTCCTTGGTATGCGTCATATTACTTTTTTAAAAAAATACTTCTGGGACCCTATGTTGATATTTGCACATCTAGTAGATTAGTTGTTTTTGTAAATTTTGTATGGTGGCTTCCATATAAAAGATGTTTTAGACTAGAGTGTCGGTTTGGTAAGCTGTACCTGGTTCCAGTTGGGCACTGCAGTATAATCCATACACAGTGTCTTCAGCTGGAAGCAGGGCTGTGATTGTAGTGCATGTAGCAGTGTAGTTAGAAAGCACCCCTCTAGCCTGCTGTATGGGGTGATGATGTTCTTCCGCGTCAGTGGGTCTCAGCAGGTCAGGTACAGAGCACATACGTGGTGGCAGGAACGTGTTTGGCAGTCTCTGTGGGCTGCAAGGGGCTGGGGCTACTCCAGCAGGATTCGGGACAGTTGTGATACAGTTCCCATGGCTATAGCACATCTGTAATACAGAATGTACCCCTTAATCTCTGGGACCTGTGTGAAGTGGAGCCACTTTTATAGTATGGGAAGGTGAATCATACAGCCAGTGGAAGTGGGGTGAAGTTAGCTGTGTTCTCAGAATAACACTGTGCGGCAACATCCTAGAGGTTCCCCCTCTAAAACAGTGCAGTAGTGGATACTCCCCAGCAACTCCCCAGCTGGACTTTTTACTTATGAGGGGCTGTAGGAGTCCAAGTAGCAAAAAAATTCAAGTGTCGATGGTGCCAGTGTGGGATGTTGGGGCTTCTGTTTATTTTTTGTCAGTGAAAGAGGGCTTTCACAGGATAGGACTGGTCTGAACTTGGGCGATGGGGCAGTGGATACAAGGTTTTATTCCTTTCTCTACCAGATTATTCAGAGTCTTCATATTCCACAATTCCTCTGTTTCATCTGTGGTGTGTTTGGCTATCTCCCGTGTATTCCAACTTCATGGTAGTTGTGCTTTTTTTCTTCCTTTGAAAGTGGGGCATATCTGTTTTTGCTAGGCAGCCACCTTGCCAGGCACCTCCCTGTAGCTGACATTGGAAACTTTTTAGGAAATGTAGATGCTTACTCCTTAATCTCTTTTGTTTTGTGTATTATAGCCATAGTGATAGTGTATGTCTGCTCAAAACATTATTCTCCCTGAAGCCCACTTGTACGTAACTGAAATGATGAGAATGCAAGTGTGTTAGGTGCATGACTTGTGATCCTGTATTTTTATGGTAATATGGAAACATCAAAAAGACCAAGAAACGTGAAATCGTGTAATATGTGCTTAATACTCAGTGGAAAGACTGATGGATGAGTCTTGTCACCTTAAGCAGATTTCTTAATTATTTGTCAAAATTAAAACTCTTAATATTAATTAAAACTCTTAATTAAAACTAATAAATGTAGGGAGATGGAATCAATAGTAAAATATTTACACAATGTACAGTAATTTAAAGTAGAATAAGAGTTAAATTGTTTTATTTCTTTGTAAAAAAAATTTGGGGGCAATTCACTTGAACAACACTTTCTGTCTCTTAGAAAACTGTCAAATTGGATAACTGAAACCATAGAAAATAAATCAGTGGGTTATGGTCAATGAATGCCTAGTGATTTGTAGACTGAAGACCTAGCAGAGAAGTTTGTGGTTGTATAACTGTAATATAGTCAACCTACTGTGAGAAATGAAATTTGAACTGTATTTTTGTGGAATTGCTGTTATTTAATCCTGTATAATTGAAATCTGTGCATATGAGGAATGCATAAAGCAGAGTATCTCCCTCGCTTTTTCCCTCTCTATATAAATATGTGGAGAATATATATATATAGAGAGAGAGAAAGAGAGAGAGAGAGTGTGTTATATATTGTTTTCCTATCTTTCTGTCTCTCCCTTTAAAGCTAGCTGTTAGCAAGAAGTTTCTTATATATTCTTATATATAAGAGTTTCTTATATATTTTTGGATATCAATCATAATTGAAACATAGCTTAACATTTTGTTATGTATGTGTTCAGTAACTTTATGTTGCTAACCTCACATATACACAAATGGTTTAAATATTTTACTTTATTGTGTGGGAGTAACCGTCTTTTGTAGACAAATTTATATAATTAAGAAAAGACTATTGTATGTTTTTATATAACAATTTAAAAGCAAAGCAAAACTAACAACATTCTTTTTTACAGTTTTATGTATGGGGAATTAACTGACAAGAAGACCATTGAGAAAGTCAGGCAGACTTTTGACAACTACGAGTCAAACTGCTTTGAAGTTCTTCTGTACAAAAAAAATAGTAGGTATTTGTCTTTTGTAAGATGAACCAGCTCTTTCTTAATGGTGTATTTTGGTAAATGGTAGTTCATCTACATTGTAGCTAACCTTTGTTAGTCTTTCTTTTAACAGAGGGAGGGAGTACTGATTGAATTAAATTAATAAATGGTATTACTTATGATGAGTACTTTTTTAAAGTATGGGAGCAAAATGTGTATTTTGTTTTATTTTTAAATTTTATTACAATTTGATAAATTATAGTTGTATATATTTATTGGGTCCAAAGTGATATTTTTTAGAATACAGTGTAAAATATTTAAATAAAGTAATTAACATATTCATGGCCTAAAATACTTATTTTTTTGTGGAGAACATTTGAGCATTTGAGATTTACCCTCTTGGCACTTTTGAAATATACAGTGTACCTTTTTTTGTACTGGGGATTGAACTCACAACCTCGCATTTGCCAGGCAGGCACTTATGCCACTGTGCTGAATTCCCAGCCCCTTACAGTGCACTTTTATTAATTGCAAGTTCCATTGTTTTAAATTCTACTTAAATTGAGAACATACGGTATTTGTCTCTCTGGGTCTGTATGATTCATTCAGCATCATGTTCTCCGCTTCCATCCCTACTGATGTAAATAATAGGATTTGTTTCTTATAAGGGCTGAGTAGTATTCCATTGTGACTATATAGTTTATTTCAGGTGCCTGTTGATTGATGTTTAAGTTGATTCTTTAATTGGCTATTATGAATTGTGTTGCAGTGAACATTGGAATTTAAATATCTTTTTGATACACTGATTTCAGATCCTTTGACTGAATACCGGGAGTGGAGTTGCTAGATCATATGGTAGCTTTGTTTTTCATATTTTTAGGAGTCTCCATGTAGTTTTCTATATGGGATGTACTAATTTCCATTTACACCAACAGTGTCTCTCCATCCTTGCTTTACATCCTTGCTAAAATTTACCTTCCCTCATTTTGATAATAGTCATCCTGATAATGGTGATTGGTGACCTATTGTAGTTTTAGTGATTAGTAACATTCAGCATTTTTTCCTGTTCCCTGGATCATTTTTATATCACCTTTTGAGAAATGTCTTATCAGATTCATGTCAGTTCTTTTAAATGAGTTACTTGTTTTCTTTCCATTGAATAGTTTGAGTTTCTTTTATATTTGGATATTAACCCTTTTTAAAATACATTTCTAAATATTTTCTCCCAATTTGTACATTGTTTCTAAATTCCACTTTTTTGTGTGTCATCAAGGAAACTTTTTAAGGTGCTGTGACAATAAATAAAAATGACAAATTATTTAATCTCTTTTTATAGTTAATAGCGCACACTAGGTATGGGCCATTGCTTTTCTACACAAAAACAGGTGGCATGTGAATTCCTGGTAGCTTCTTGAGATGTGTCTTTAAAAACATGGCTTAGACTTTGTTTTGTGGATGGCCGGAGGAAGTAGTCATTATTTCAGGAGACGACCCTCACATCTGGTACCTTTGTACTGATCCATTCTCTAGGATGAGATTGTTGGCTATCCAGTATGTAATCATGTCAGACTTTATGATATGGATAGACTCTGCCAGAATTTGAAGGGAAAGAAAACCCATGAGTGAGCTCAGTGATGAAGTCCCCCTTCTAGTTTTCTACCTTAGGGTGGCCACCTACTTACGTCTCTTCTTGGCCCTTTCTCAAATTGTGTTTTATTCCCTGAAATCAATAGTCACTTCTTCTTCTTTTTTTTTTTAATCAGTACCAGGGATCGAACTCATGACCTCGCGCTTGCAGGGCAGGCACTTATGCCACTGAGCTAAATCCCCAGCAATAGTCACTTCTTAAGATGGATCAGTTTATTTTGTGTTAATGGTAGATGATGGCAAAATCCATTATTTTCAGTAGAAACTGGTGGTTACTAAATTGTTCCTAAGTTTGGGAAACATTCTGGCTGTATCAGGAAACATTCGTTCTCTGCCTGTTGGATTTTGTGGAGCATAATCTATTCTGTATTCCTTAAAACACTGATCTCTATGCAATATTTGGAATTAAAATTGGATTTTTCTTATTTGTTAATAGACTATCAAAGGAATAACAACAACCTAGATAGTGCTTCACAGTGATACATTTGACTGTGGGAAGATTTGTCTTTAGTGGTTTCACTTAGGGAGTATTTTATGGTCTTTCATTTTAGAACCAAGGCAAGAGGTATTTCTGTTTGAAATCACAGCCAAATACCACAGTCTATTCTGGATGATTAGTTCTTTCTTCTGTAAGAGAAATGGCAGGCTGTATATGCTTTCTAGTTCTTTCCACTGGATCCAGTATATATTGGTAATTCACAGGAGACCCATCTGCGTGGACCCCCTTACTTTCCAGTTGTTTTGTTAGCCCTCAAACAACTTAGATATGGACCCCAAGTTTAGCAGATAAATTCAGAACACTCTTTGTTACTAAGGTCATTCACTAGTTAAACAAAATAAACAAATCTTTGTCTTTTTTTCAAACATTGTAGCCAAGTCCTTAGTTTCTTAGTGTCTCAAAAATACCTCAGTGAAATTTTATTTACTGTAAAATATGTTGTAATAACTTGAAACTTATATTTCCAAAATTATTCTTGGGTAATTCAGATAGTTTGCTTTATGTTAATTGATTGCAATTGTTAACTGACCTTTGTTTAGGCCTTTCTGTTATTTTCAGACATCTGTTTCTGTATGTAGATGTCTGCTAATACCCCATGGAACTATAGGTTAACACTCTAGTCACTTTGTTGTATACTATGTGCGTTGGACTTTGTTTTTTTTTTTAAATGTGAAGGATCGATATTATCTATGTATTATGGTGGAGATCTACTTAAAAGTGGCTTTAAAAAATCTTACAGAGCTGAAAGCTTTGAAATGTCAATTGAAAAAATATATTCTTGTGACATTAAAATGTTAGAAAAATTTGTGTATCTACATAAACACTGTTTTGAGAATGTCTCAATACAAGTCCTCCCAACATTTCCATGAAGTAATTAGATTAAACATCATTTTGCAAAGGGAGGGAACTGAGTTATCTGTTAGTATGTATCAGGACTGACATCATCATTTGCAGCCAGTGTTCTGATTAGTAGGGGGCTGTTTCTCCAATGGCAAAAGAAGCCTTTATCTCTAGGGTGAGGATTTAAATAGCTCTGTGTACACAGGCAAACCTGGGACAGTGGGGTTACTCCCAGGAACCAATCCCAAAAGCTACTCTGAGTATCTGGTGGTAGCAGATGTCTCTGTCTAATCGCCCAGACCCCCAAACCCTGGACCACAAATCTCGAGAAGAAACGATATTTCATTAGCCACTTGGTAGATGTTCAGTCTGATTGGAGAAGCCTGACATCATGGGTTAAAAAACTGAAAAAAATTTACCTTGATATTTGAGAGCAGCTTTTAGGACAGTCCTGTCTCTGAGCATTTATTTGACAAGTTGCTGTTTTCATGGGAAGCCATGAAATGTAACACCATCTCTTTCTGTTCAGATTTTTAAAGGACCTTGGGAAATGACTTATTTTTAATGGCCTTTTTTCTTTGTTTATGACTGCTCTTCCTGAAGCTCCCTGTGTTGGAACAGCTGTAGGCCATGTGTACATGACATTCGGGGCTGGTTATTTGTGAGACTGTGCTCATCATCCACAATTCCTGGATACACTGTGTAAAATGTGAAGCAGAAAACAAAGAATAAGTCTCTTTGGTAGATGCTACGATTCTTTTCAGAGTCCTTATCTCATTCTGCAATCGTTTTGGAAAGAACCAGGTCTTTCCCTGCACCTTTTGGGGTACAAAAGACCTGGTGACCAGAACTGAATATTACCATTCAGTTAATGGTAATCTTCTGGGGATCTTCTCTTTTTAGTTCTCCTAATTCTTTGGTCTAGTAGTTGAGTCACCTCATCTTGTTTCCGTGGCAAGTTCCTCATTGTCCTGATATTAGGTGAGTTGTTTTTTAAAATACAGGTACAAAAATGCTTCTTATTTGGTTTTTATTAGGAGTCATGAAGACACTATAACCTCTTATTAGAGATTGTTTAATAGCTGCATATTTTACTCTCCAAATCCTGAACCTGACAAAAGCCTTTATATTTTTAAGACAGAATATGTAGAGGGGCTTTATTGCAGTATGGCTTGGTGAAAATATGGTGGAAAATGTGTCTTTTGATTTTGATAGACTCTTCCTGCAGTAATTTATCACTGAATTGTTATTTTTTGAAGACATTTCTCATCCTTTTGCTTAGCCATGGTTTGTACGTGCCAGTTCCTAGTTTATCAAATCCTGAGCTGTGTGTGTTCCACAGCCCTGCTCCTCCTGAGTGTACTGTAACTGTTCTTTGAAGGATGTAGGGGCAGATTACAGCCTTATGCTTTGATTAATGGGTACAGGAAGCAGGGGCTCATGAAGGGCAGTTTCATCATGCAAGTTTTTTCTATGATTCTGGAGGGCCAGGAACATGACAGTTTTTTTCTTGAAAGTTGACTACATGGCCCCAGGTGGAGCATTGTGGCATCAGGTATCGAGTGTAGTTGCTGACTTCTCTCTGAGGAGGGGAGGCAGGCAAAGCCCTAGCGGTCCCATAAGTCAGCCTGACTGATGAGAGGACCTGGGACAGAAGCAGCTTTCAGATGTTCCTCCATGAGTAGCACTCATCAGAGCATCAGGTACTGCTGTTGCAGTTAATTGGAAACACTTGTCAAAGTGACAGGAGGAGAGAAACAGGTCGGGTTGATCACGCTCAGTAAGACTATATCAACCAGAAAGTGGTATGAGCAGTGACAGTTTAGGGGCCCAGACCTACAAATACTGCTGGCCTTAAGTAGCAAGACTGTCTTCACGTGCCTGCCTTGTGAAGTGACACCCTGTGCTTTACTTTACAATTTTTTGGCTTGAAAAATGTGTTTTAAAAGCTGGTAGCTTATATAAAATTGAAGATTTCTTTGAATTCCTTGCAGCAGTGGAAGTCTGGTCTGTTGTCTTGGTGCTAATTCAGGGCATAGCAGCTGGCAGCTAAAGGAGAAGGAGGGGGAGGCGGAGAGCGAGCCACTGCTGTGACTGTGTCACAGGTATTGTCTTTTCTCTCACTCTGTTTCAGGAACCCCTGTTTGGTTTTACATGCAAATTGCACCAATAAGAAATGAACATGAGAAGGTGGTCTTGTTCCTGTGCACTTTCAAGGATATTACGTTGTTCAAACAGCCCATAGAGGATGATTCAACAAAAGGTAATTTTCACAAGAATCACTGTAGCCAGGAAGGGGCCTGTCCCTTACATATGTTCCTCTTACTTTGGCAAACTATTGGTTGAACTGGGAAGCAAAACTCTGCCACGGGACCCTTCTGTCTCTTCATCTTCATAGTAGTAGTTGCTCAGAATCAGTTTCATTCTGTGTGTTACTTAAATGGAAATAGTATGCTTTTGCAAATTCAAAATAGTTCACATGATTAACTGAAATTATAGTAGCATTGGAGGTAATGTAAAAGAAAGGAGTATTATAGAGTACTGTGAATTTAGAGTCAGTATAAAGGAAGTTTTAACATGGCACCATGATAATCGTTAGGACTAATTAATTGTACACAGCCTCTTGAATAGTTTGAGTAATATGTTACGAGAGCTTATTTGATGAGTTGATGAAACTTTGTTGAATTGATTAGATTTTTCTTAGTTCAGTTGTTCAGTTACATATCAGCTTTTATTTATTCAATTGTACATTGTATTGTCTTGAGTAGGCATTGATAGATTATGGAAGTATAATTTTGTCATCAAGTGAATGATTGGCAAATAACAAACCCCTGAATGGAATCTTGTTGACTATCATATCCAGAGAGAGTGCTATAGAGACCTACATGACGTGCACCTGTACCTTTTTCTTTGTAATTTATTCTCTCTTTTGTTTAAATTAGAAATTGGTGTCATATAAATCAAGCATTTTAAAGACTGCAAAGTGGTTTTTATAAAATGTTATTTTAAAAAATCTTTTGTTTAAAGATTGAGATTGTTGAGATAAAAATGAAGTGTTTGCCTCTTTATGTTGGCCTTTTGTTCTTGAAAGAAAAAAAGGAAGGGGAAAACTGGCACAGAAGTCTTAAGCTTTCCAACTGTAATCATAATTATAGAAAAAAAGCTCATTAGTTTATTTTTTCACCTGAGTTCAAGTATACAATATTGTATCTGCTCAGTTTTTGGTTAGTATCAAACTGTAGAAGAAATTTCACAATGTGCCAGCTATTTAATTGTGACATAGAATAGTTAACTAGTAAATGTTTCTGAAAACATGGAGGTTATTAAATTATCTCCAAATGAAGTATTCAATTTAGGATTCATACTGTTTTTAAACACTGGTGCCTCTTTCCTTACTCATAGACTCAGTGCCTGGGAAATTCAGGATATATGTAAATACTGTTTTTATTTTTAATTTTTTTTACAGGATAGGCTTTTTAAATAGAATAATAGTTTTTAGGTTTAACTGTTTATTTGTTTGTGTTGAAAGTCATGGTACTTCATCCAAAAGCCAGAGAATGTATGCTTTCCACATCACATGGAGCATTCACCAAGATAGACAACTTCTAGGTTTGTAAAACCCACTTTGACAAATTTATTTTATTTTATGTTATTTTATTTTAAAGAGAATATAAACAAGCAAAATAAAATGGAACAAAGTCAATCATAAAAAACCAGTGTAATTGACACACAACTTCAAAACAATATAAAATCAACAGTGTTTCCATAGTGCCCCTTGTCACCTTTGAAACAGCTGTAGATACCTTCAGAGATAGAAATAAAACAAAACAGAACAGAATAGAACCAATAAAAACAAAACAATGAATACAGTAAAAGACTTCCAAACAAGACAAAAGTAAATACCATATCTATGCTAGCCCAAAAGGGCTAGCATAATATATGCTGTCTTTGAAATAGCTGCCCATTCCATCGAGTACAATAAAATCAAATAAAACAAAACAGAATAAAACCCAACCCAATAAAACAATGAAAATGATACAGGATTTCAAAACAAGATAATAGGGAATTGACAATGGCTACACCTTTCAAATGAGATCCCCATAGATGCCACACTGTGTACAGTGATCCTCTGAATAGATGATCAGAGCACCAGCCCTAGACCTGCAAAGGCAGTGAAACAACCAGACACCACAAGCATCAGACTGCATTTCATCTGAATAGCTATCATCTCAGTCTGTGTTTCTCTGGATCAGCAGGTTACTTACATGGGGAGTGGGAGGGGGATTGGCTCTTCTTGTTACCCGGCTGGCGCAGGGCAAGTCACTGGGTTCTGGCTGTGCCCCCCTGGCAGTGGCCCATGCATGGTGCTGGCTCACAGGAAGGGTTTGCTTCTTGGTGGATTCTGGTTCTCTACCCCCTCAGTCTGCGAATGGCACTGACTCACGGGGACAGGCTGGGGTCTGGCTATCTTGCTGCCGCGGCTGCCCACACGTGGCACTGGTTCATGGGGTGGGCTTGCTTCTTGTTGACAACTCACAGGAATGTCACTGACTCATGGGAAAAGGTTAGGGTCTGGCTGTTCCCCAGGTAGTGACAGCCAGTGCATGGCGCTGGGTCACAGGGAAGGTTTGCTTCGTGGTGAATTCTTGTTTTCTTTCCCCACAGTCCATGAAAGGCACTGACTCAGGGATCTGGCTCATTTTGACAAAGTTAAAAGAATAGAAATCTTAAAAAGTATATTCTCCATGATCATATACATCTGTAGTCTGAGCATTCTGAGAGGCTAAGGCAGAAAGATCACAAGTTCAAGCTCTAATGAGGCAAGGTAGTAGCTTAATATAAAAAAGTGTGTGTGTGTGTGTGTGTGTGTGTGTGTGTGTGTGTGTGTGTGTTGGCTAGGGTTGTAACTCACGGTCAAGGTACTAGGTTCAGTATCCACTATTGAAAAAAAATATATGTTTTCAGATTGTGATGGAGTTAAACTACAATTCAGTATCAGAAAGATAGCTGGAAATCCTCACTTATTTGAAAATTAACACATTTCTAAATCAACCATGGGTAAAAGCAGTCTTAAATTACAAAAGTATTTTGAACAAGATGAAAATATAACTCACAAAATTTGTGGACTGTATATATGAGAAAAGATAGCCATAAAGCAATGACCTGTAAGATTCCATCTTGGAATTATACGAAGAAGAGTATTTTAAGCCAAAATGGGCTGAAGACAAAACAAACAAACAAAATAACCAACCTGAGTGCAACAATTAATGAAATAAAGAGAAAGGATAACTTTAGAGAAAAATTACCAAAACCTATGGCTAATTCATTGAAAAGATTGCTCAAGTTATTATGTCTAGGCAGGCTAAGAAAAAATAGACAAGATATGAACTACCAGTATTAGAAATTAAAGGAAATCCAATGCTATTCATTTTGTAGACATTAAAGAATAGTAAAGGAAAAGCATGAACCACTGTTGACAATTTATAGGAAAGAGACTAATTCCTTGAAACACACAAATTATCAGAATGCACTCAAGGAAAAAAAGATAATCTCAATTGTCACATATCTATTAAAATTTAATAAATAATGAATAATCTTTCAAATATAAGGAAACATGAACTATGAATGGTTTCATCAACAAATTCAAGTAATCATTTAGAGAAGAAATAATACCAACTATCCATGTCTCTTCCAGAAAACAGAAGTAGAAAGAACTTCCTAATTCATTCTGTGATGTCAGTAGTGCCCTGTACTCAAACCAAAGACATTATATCAAAGATAATTTAGAGATAAGTGTTTTTATGAATATAGATATAAAAATTCTTTAAAACATAGAATCCAACAATGTACAAAAATTACAGATGACAGTGAAGTGCAATTTATCCTACATGTGTATGACTATTTGAAGATTGAAAAACCAAGCTCTGTAACCCACCACATCACCGGGCTAGCAGAGGCAAGTTGTATGATCATCAATTGGCATGGTGAAAGCATTTGGTAGAGCTCAGCACCCATTCATGATAAAACTCTTGAGAAAATTAGTAGAGTAGAACTTTTTCAATTTGATAAGGAATATTTGTGAAAAAACCTACAGCTAACAGTGGGCAATATCTTAAAGTGATATATTTCTAAATAAAAAGACAAAATGATTGATACATGGTTGTCTTCAAATGAATTTCTGTTGCTTTAACACATGAACATCAGTAACCTAAATGGCAAGCTTTTTGTCACACTCATCACTGCTAAAAAAATTTTATATTTATATTGGATGGGTATTATTCTGTCTTATTTATGTTAAGTGATTCGTTTTGTGACATGAATTACCAGTTGAAACTGACCAAGGAAAGTATAGGCCTCACTACTTACTGTTTTGACCTGCTAAGCCTACTTGGTAGAGTCAGTAGCTACACATCTATTTGTGGAAACGGAAGTGGGCGGTATTTTACAGTGAGTTTGGGGGAATGCACTGATGCTGAACCCAGTGCCTGTCTACTTATCTATCCTCTCTCCATGCCCACATCAGAGTCACAGAGTACTTTGTTAGATGCAATGTCTTTTGAATGAATTATTCACCTTTATACAAATGTAATGTTTGAATGCGTCTCAGACAACTCAAATGACTTGATTTTTATTCTTTGGAGTAAGTAGACATATACACTAAAATTTATAAAGAAAATCATCCTCCATTGTGAAAAAATATCAGTGTTAAATGTCTTCTTCCCATTCCGGAATTTTTTAGCAAAAGAGCTTATATTAAAAAGATTTTTATTTTGAGACTCCTCCATAACTTCCAGATACATAACAGTATACTGCAGAAGTACTGTATAGTGTAACTTAATGCTGCATATGAGTTGCTTTCTGTTATTCATATGAGATGTATATTTAATAAGAAATATTAAAAGGAAATGAAATATTTATACCGTGAAGGCATCATTCTACTATATCTTTGCAGCTGGCATACAGAAAAGTGTATTTTGAAATCTTGCTACATAATAGCTTTCAATTTTTTAAGTGGAATAAAGGAGATCAGGAAACTTTTGGGAAGTGAGCAGATAAGGTACTATGATAACATCACAATGTCAAAATGATTTGGTTCCAGAGCCCTGAATTTGGAGACAGTAGACTTTTTATTTGTCTGGGTTCTGAGCGATGTTTAACATAGACCTTTGTAACCTTTTGAGGGATATTTTATTCTCTTTACCATAAATTATTTATCTTTTCCAATCAAAGATGTGGATTGAGAACATATCCTTGGAGATACAA